GGGGGGGGGGGGGGGGGGGGGAGGTCAGGAAGGGAGGCACGGCGAAAAGATCGAGAAAAAAATAGGGGCCACACCCACACGCACCTCTGAAGGGGAGAGAGGAGATCGGCCTCCCCGCCGGGGCAGGGGTCCCCGACAACCGGAGCCTTCTGGGCCACACGGCTGACCAGCTCGAAGAGAACCGGCCCAGCAGGCCGATCACCGAGCCAAGCTTCGTAGGCTCCGCGGAGGGGAATTGTGCAGAGCTCGGCGTAACCGGGCGACTTGACCCATGCTAGGGAGAAGGAGTAAGAGAGGGAGAGAGGGAGCGAAAAGAGAGGGAGAGAGGGAGAGCGGGGAGGGAGAGCCATCGCATCCAGGGACATCCAATGGGAAACGTACCGTCATTGTGCACCGGGCAGGCTGTGGCCGACCCACCGGAGGCCCAGCGGCTACAGCGCCCAAACAAAGGCTCAGACAAGGCACTATCCGATGGCGTGGCGGTCGCCGACGGGAGGACATCCCGGCTGAAGGATGCCGATCGGCTGAGAGATCCACACCCGTGTCCAGACTCGACGTCCGGTAAGTCCACAGGTGGCCACCGTGCGAAGGATCCCGACGTGGAAGCCGGCAAGGGGCCCGGGTCCGGGCTGGCCGGGCGGTCGCCAATCGGCGAGGCGCTGCGCGAGGCCGCAGCCGACGGCAGGTACTGATCCGACTCGCTGAATGGGGTTGGGAGGGGGGGGGGGGGGGGTCCCGGGCCATCCATGCAAAGGGCGGCAGGGGAGGACGAGGGCATTAGCTGAGCCAAAGCCCCGGCATTCGCGGTGAGGACACGGCAACGGACCAGAAGAGCCCCACTCCAAAGAGGGGCACGCCGTCGTCTGGCGAGAATGCCCCTTGGAGGTGGGCAAAGTCCATGCCCAGGAGAATCTCCTCGCACGTGGGCCTGATGGCATAATCCGAGGAGATGCACATTTCCAGGATGCTTTTCGAGAGGGGGGGAGGGGCGCCCGGTGTCAGAGAGGCCCCGAGAGGGCCGAGGCAGCGCCAGGTCCAGGAGGGCGTACTTTAACAAGGTGCGCCACCAAGTGGCCGCTGGCGTGGTGGCTTCGGCCACGGCAACTTGCGCGCCCAGCGCGTCCAGGGCCGAGCGCGGGTCGGCCAGGGACCCATCCGTACACTCGGCCAGGCCCAGGCAGCGTCCTGCGCACCAGAGCACAACAGCCGCCACATGCCAGATGTCGGATGCCCGGCGCACCAAGTTGGCCGGCCGCCACAGGGGCCCCGGGCAGCCGGGCACCAGGCAAACCGGCTGCCCGTGCATCGACGACGAGACACCAGACAGGTAGGGGGCATTCTCCGGAGGGGGGCAAAAGCCCGAACTGCGGCGGGCATGCGGTCGACAGCAAACAAGAGACCGGCGGGGATTAGAGGGCATGCAAAGGAAGGGCAAGCGTGCGTGCGGGCGAGCGAGGGGGAGGTACACAAGTTGAGAGTCAGCCACCAGGCCCCGGAGAATGGTGGTCAGAAGGCCGGATGACAAGACCGGGTTGCCCTGCGCATTGGGGTGTCAGTATCGCAAAAGCCGAAGACGAGGGAGCTGGCGCTCGACGACCTGTCAGACCTTCCCGGCATCGCGCAGCGCACCATCTGGTCAAGGAAGATGCTGCTCGGTGCAAGAGCACTCTCAAGCCCGGCGATGTCGGACTGGTGCAAGGCATCCACCACTCGCAGGAGCGACCCCAGCAGACGTTGCAGGAGATCGTGGCTCCGGGTCACCTGCACACTGGTTAGCTCCTCGGCCAGGAGGAAGGCGCCGCTCGAGGCCAGGGTCGCCAGCTGGCGCGTCGACGGGAGCTGCGACTCAACCAGGTAGAGAGAGTCTAAAAGAAGAGGGAGAGAGGGGGGGGGGGGGAGTCAGCCAAACCGAGCGAGAAGGCAGGCCACCTGTCCGGGTGACGAAAACCCACACACACACACACACACACACACCTCCAGTGCAGGCGACATCTACGTAGAGACTCTGCGGGGCGGAAGTGGAACAGGCAGCCCCCGAGCTGACCAGGTAGCCTGGCACCAGGGTCCCCGCCTCGAGGCCCAGACCGAGCGCTTGTGCTCGGCCAAATGCCTCACTCACCGGGACCGATCCGGGCGCCACGGTAAATGCGGACTCCGGCCGGCTCTCGAAGCGCCCCCCGGCCGGAGAACTAGTGCCTGAGGAGGTGCCCACAGAATTGGCCTGAGAATGGCCGGCGTTCGAGTCATCGGCCGCGAGCGACTCGACAAAAACATCGGCCAGTGGCGAGTCATCCGACAGCGGATCCACCCCGAGCAGGAGATCTCGGCCGAGTCCGGCGCCGCGGTCCCACGGCGCCGGGTCTGTGGCGGCCGCCACCGCCGCCATGCCGGTGCGCCCCCGTGCCGAGGCCTTCTTTCCATTGGACTCGGCACCACACAGCAGGCAGAGGGTCGCGCCGCGCTGGATGGCCCTGCCAGCCACAGCCGCTTGTGTTTGGAGAGCGGACTCCAGGGAGGTTGACAGGAAAATCTCCCGCACAAGGAGATCCCCGGCTGGGGAGAACGACGGGACGGCCTCACGCGAGGCCATGGTCGCAGGCTACAGCTAGAAAGAGACCAAAATGGATACAGGCGCAGAAGGAGAGGGAGAGGGAGAGGGAGAGAGCGGGGGGGGGGGGAGGGAGAAAGAGAGGGCGAGCTCGCTACTCGGGGAGAGGGGGAAGAGATGAAGCCGGAAGCAGCGGGGCTATGTGAGAGGGAACTGGGCCAGTGTACACAAGACCCCAGGCAGGGCTCCGGGGTCGGCCTTCAGACCGGGAGAAAAGTTGATCGGGCGCCCGTCCCTCAGTCAGCATGCCCGTCCCACACACACACACACACACACACACACCCACACGGACACACCCACACGGACACACATGTACGGACACACACGTACGGACACACACGTACGGACACGCCTTGCCTGGCCAGGCACTGCCAGATCTCCCCCCCCCCCCCCCCCCCCCCCCCCCCCCCCCCCCCCCCCCCTCCAACGCCTGCCAGGCCCCTGGTCTCGGCTGGCCGATCTGTCAAGCACAGCGTTGGGACCTGGGCCCCGGCAACCCGAGGATCCCCGGCCAGGCCTCGAAGCGGGTACGAAAAGCATGACGATTTTTGTGCCCGGCGACTCAGGGCCCCGGGCCTCACAAACTCCGGGCTGGTGCCTGCGCTCTCCGTGGCTCTCGCTCCTGTGGCTGCCCAGCCCGCCCGCCCGCCCGATGGCTGAGCCCCCCTCCCCCCCTTCGACTAGCCTCTCGATACACCATCCCCCCCCCCCTTCACTCCGTCACCGTGCCCATGGGCCTCCTATTCTGGTTGGGTATTGTCTCCTTCAAATGCTCTCTCTCCCCGCCCCCGGTGCTGACCTGCCACCACGGGCATCCGACCCGTGCACAAAAAGGTCCAAATATCAGATGGTCTATTTTCATCGGCGGACAGGCGCGCACGGACAGGAATATGCGCGTGCTCGCGAGGGAGAGGTCAAGAAAAAAAAAGAAGCAACCAGGCCGTCCCTTTGTACAGGTTCACACGCGCTGCCCACAGCCAGCAGCAAGGAACAGGGGGATCTGCCCCCTCTTGCAGAGGAAGAGAGAGGGAAAGGGAGGGGGGGGGGGGGGAGGCTGGGCAGGACGAGGCGGGAGCACCCCCCTGACAAATCCCCCCCCCCTGGCCATCCACCGCGCGGGCAGGGACCGAGGGACTACCACGCAGGGGGATTAGTCGCGAATGGCCAGAACCGGGTGGTCCCGGACGCAGGACGTCCGGTACACGGCCATGGCTACACTCTGGCGAAGGCGGTTCCACACGGCATTGGCCTCGGGACCGATGCCACCCACCGGCATGGCAGCCTGGATGATCCGGCCATCGGACAGGGTAAACCTCAGCAGCAGAGTCGGGTGCATGGCACGCGACAGGGTCCCGGTGGAGATGGCGATGTCTGTGCGCCACTTCAGTGACCGCAGCCGGGGCAGGTGCTCCGGCGGGCTGAGCGGGGCATGGCTGCCGGTGCCCGGAGTGGCCCCCTGCAAGCGCGGACCGACCGCGTGCAGGGTAGCCGCCGACTGGGCATGGGCACGCACCCGGGGCAGGGCCACCAGCACCGCCTCGGCAAATGGCCGACCAATGCGCACATCGCCACCGACACCCACACCGAGGATGGCCCCACTGGCGGGCTTGACCCCGGGCGGGTCGATGCACCACTCGGACAGGATGATGGCCGGCGGGACATTGTCCCCGAGGCGCCGGCTGGCCGCCAGTAGGATGGCCCGCGTGGCGGCAAACAGCCCGAGCAGCTGCTGCTGCGTGAGGGCCCCCTCGAAGGGGCTGGCGGCAAGCTGCGCCAGCAGCTGGGTCTTGGTGACGGACTCCGTGAGGTAGCTGGCCACGACTGCGGGGGCCGGCCGGTGGGCAGGGCGATGAGGCTTGGTGAGTGGAGGTGCGCACATGGACAACGGCCGGGAGGGGCAAAGCAAGACGGCGAGGGCAAAGGGAAAGAGGCAGAGAAAGTCCAAGAGAGGGGAGAGAGAGAGAGAGAGAGAGAGAGCGAAGAAAAAGGGAGCGAGAGCAGAAGGAATAAACCGAACGTACGGTCCACCAGCCACTTGGACTGGTCTGCCTGGAGCTTACGCAGCGCCGGGGCCGCCAAGACAATCTCGGTCGGCGGCCGGGGCCCGGGGAAGAGGACAGCCCGGTCCATGATGTGGTGCGAAGGGAGAGAGAGAGAGAGAGAAAGAGAGAAAGAGAAAGAGAGGGGGGCCGAGGGGAGGAGGCGAGGGAGGCAGGGCAAGGCCGGCGGATGTGCGCAGGTGTGGGGGGGGAGCAGGGGAGGAGGAGACGCTGCATGGCATGATCAGCGCGAAGGGGGGTACTCTGCGGGCTTTGGTGGCTGATGAAGCTTCCTCCCGGCATCTGCAAGATCCACCCGGACCCGGGCCTCGCCTCCGGTGGGCGAGGAGGGGGGAGAGACACGCCCCCCCCCCCGCTACGCACCGCTCCCCCCTCCGCCCGCGTATCTCCCTCGTCTGCCAACAGACCAGTGAGGGAGGCCGGGAGAGAGAGAGAGAGAGAGAGAGAGAGAGAGAGAGAGAGAGAGAGAGGGAGAGACGCCTCTGCGCGAGTCCCGGACTTGGGCGAAAACAATTGTTATGAGAAGGCCCCCGGCGTGATACCACCGCGAGTCACGACGGTCATGTGTGCGGATCTGGACCGGCTGTCTGGGATGGGAGAGCGGCTGGCCGATCTTTGAAATTCCGTTCTTGAGTCAGTGCGGTGTGTCGGAACGAACAGGACCACCCTTGGGCCCGGGCGTCCTCTTCTACGCGCCCTTGCTCTGCCATATTTGTCCCTTTTTTTATGACTCAATGCTGGGACTTTTGGCGTGCGCGCGCGCGCGCGCGCGCGCGGAGGGAGGCGCCTCCCCGGGCCCTGGAGCTGCAGGCTGGGAAGAAGCAACCTCCGCCCGGTGGTGCCAAGGCCGACCGGGCAGAGGTCCCTCGGGATGCAAACAAGCCAGACCGCGGCGCGCGGGCCCCGCTCAACGGCCCTCATCTGGGTGGGGGGCGGTATGGCTGGCCCCCCCCCCCCCCCCCGCCGGCTGTTGTGTGAGTTTCTGTCATGCAAGGTTGGGGGAATGCGCGTGCGCCGAAAGTCTCCCGGTCCCCCCGGGCCGATGCGCGCTCTCGGGCAGGCCGTCTAGCGAGTACGCCAGCAAAAAACGGTCACACGCCCCCCGCCCCCCCGCCACCCCTCCCCCGGACATATGCCCATACACGGACTGTGCTGGTCGTGTCTGGAGATGTCCACCCCAGTTACGAGCGCAGTGGTCTGGTCTGGGCTCCACGCCCCTGGGGTGGGGGGGGGGGGGGCGGGGGGGGGGGGGGGGCGAGAACAGGGAGGCTGCTCTGGGCTGGGGGCCGAGCAGGTCCGTGTTCTTCGTGCTTGTCCTTCCCCTTGACCCAGGGCCAGGCCGGCCCTGGGCGGGGAGGTCCACGACGCGCTCCCGCCTGCTCGCTCGTGTGTGGGTGTCGCAACGGCGGCCGGTCGGTTGCCCGGAAAATCGGGCTCTCCCGCCGCCCGCCGCCCCGCCCGCCCCCGCCCCCCACTCCCCGGGGGATGAGCGGGCGCTAATGACACATATCCCTCACCGGACGAGGCCACGCACAGGCGGCGCGGGTGATGCAACGCCTCGCATGAGCTGGGTCTGCGCCCTCGCACCGTGGGAGGCGAGGCCCCGGCGGTGGCCGGGCCCGGGCGCACCCGCCCGAGTGCGGGCGCATGCGCCGACGCGCCACCCACGGATAAGGGGCCGCGCAATGGGGGGCCGCGGATTCGAGCCTGGCCAACCTCTGTCCCCTTCTGCCTGCCCGCACCCTGCTCGCCCCGCACGCGCTCCGCACGCTCCCTCCCCCCCTTCCCCCCCCTCCCCCCCACTCCCCCAGAGAGGTATCTTCATGCGACTGCCTCCCGCGACGCTCCTTTCGCGATGATGCCGCCCCTGTTAGGGGGTGCGGCACCGGCCTCGCCGCCTGCTGACCCCCTTGCCCCCCTCCCAGCCGCTCCCCAGCCACTCTCCCGGTTCCCCTTCCCCCCTCAACACGCACGCGCGCGCGCCCCGGGCCACCCCCTCTTCCGCCAGAGAGAGAGAGAGACCCTCCGCCCCCCCTGGAACCATGAACGTCGGTGACACGGTTGTCCTGCTCGCCAGGCACCCTGAGTTCAAGGTGACCAACAACAATGATGGCTACCTGCTCTTCTACGGCGTCCTGGCCGAGATCGAGTACACCACGAGGACCCTCTGCCTGGCTGACGGTACGCATCGCTGGTTCTCCCTCCTCGCTCGCTCTCTCGCTCGCGCTCGCTCTCTCTCTCTCTCTCTCTCTCTCTTCTTGCCCCCTCGCTCTCCCTCAGGGCCCCATTAACTGATTGCCATCGCCTCGCCTCCCTTCCCGCCCCCCTCTCCCACGCCCAGTGAGCACCCTCTCCAACGACCTTTTCGAGCCGCTGAACCAGTTCTTCAACAACAAGACCCTGATGTCCGACATGTTCAGCCGCGATCTCTTCGCCCGGGTCCCTCCCCTGGACAAGAGCGTGGAGCGCCTCTACTTCCCGGACACCAACATCCGTGAGATCATCCCCGGCAGTGCCCTCGATGACTTTGCCCTGGCCTCGACCACGGCCTCCAGCGAGAAGGCTGCGGCCGATGCGGCGGCTGCCGCCGCTGCCGCCGCCGCCGCCGCCGCGGCTGCCCAGCAGCAACAGGCCGCGGCAGCTGCCGCCGCCGCCGCCGCCACCACCACCACCACCGAGCCGGCCCCGGCTGCGCGCGCCCCTCCCGCCTCCCGGCAGCAGTCCGGCCGGCAGGGCCCCAGCGGCCGGCAGGGCTCCGGAGTCCCGGCCGAAGCTCGCGCCGCCTCCAACGAGTCATCCAAGCCGATGACCTACGCCGCCAAGGCGGCCAGCTCCCGGGCGCCGGTGTCCAAGTACCCGCTGACCGGCGACGACCAGGACTTCCTCCTGGACCAGCAGTATGCGTATGCGGGCGACGCGCAGTCGGGCACCGACTCTTCGCGCCGGTCGCGTCGCCGCGATGGCGCCGGCGCCCCTGCCGCCGGGGCCACCGGCTCCGGCCCCACCGCCAACCAGCACTACTCGCGCCAGCATCCCTACTCGCAGCACTCGCAGACGGCCACCGGCGCCGCTCCGGCGGCCGGGTCCCCCGGCGCCCCCTCGCAGCGCCAGGCCCCCTATGGCTCCGGTCGTCAGCCGTCTGCCGCGAGCTCGGGCCTGCCACGCCAGCAGCAGCATGCTGAGCCGGCTGCTGCCGGCGGTGCCCCGGCCAAGGGCCCGGCCGTCTACAAGATGGCTGCCCCTGCCCCGAAGACGGCCGCCACGGGTGCCGCCCCTGCCAAGCCCGGCACCGGCCCGACCACCACCGGCACCGCCAAGGTGGATGCCGATTCGACTGCCGCCACCTCGGGCGCGGGCGTGCCCGCCGCCGACTCCGCGCCTGCCGCCGCCGCCGCCGCCGCCGCTGCCGCCGCCGCTGCTGCTGCTGCTGCTGCTGCCCAGCAGCATCCCGGCATGCCACATCACCCGATGATGCCCTACATGTATCAGACCCCTCCGGGGGCCCATGCCTCTGCCGGGCATCAGTACCACATGCCGGGCTTTGGCGGGGTGCCGATGCCCGGGTTGCCGCCGCAGATGGCGCCGATGTATGGCTTCGCGCCGCCGCATGCCGGCGGGCACCCGCACGCCGGGCATCCGCATCACCCGACGCCGCCGTCGGCCATGCCGCCGGCTGGCCCCGGGGCCGGTGCCGTGCGCCCTGCTCGGCCGAAGCTCTCGCAGCCGCTGGTCTCCTCCAGCCAGCTGGCTTCGGCTGCGGCCGGCGGGGCTCCGGTCATTGTCTCGCTGCCGCCCGGCCCGGCTGGCGGGCTGGCCGTTCGCCCGGCGCCCGCCACGGCTGGCACCGGCCCCGGCGCGGCTGCCGCCAAGCCGGCCGTCGGCGCGGCCGCTGCCACTGCCGCCAAGCCGGCCGCCGCCGAGGCCGAGGCCTCCTCAGAAGGCAAGAGCCCCGCCCTGGAGGGCACCCCCGCCTCCCGGCCGGCGGCCCAGCAGAAGCCCTCGGCGGCGGCGGCGGCGGCGGCGGCCCAGCCGCAGTCGGTCAAGGACATCGTGGCTTCATTGCCCGACGCGCCGGAGGTCCACGCGCCGCAGCTGTCCAAGTCCCACGGTACCTTCGACTTCGATGCGGCCTTCATCAGCCCGGAGATGGCGGCCCGCTCGCAGGGGCCCGCCCGCACGGCGGCTGCCTACGACCACAGCAAGTCCTTCTTCGACACCCTCAGCACGTCGGTCAGCATCGGGCCGATCAGTGCCACCGGGGTTGGCTCGGCTGGCAGTGGCGCCTCGGTCACTGGTGGCAATCGCCGCCCGGCGGTCACCACCGGCGGTGCTCCCAGCGGGGCGCGCTCCGGCGGCGGCTCGGGCGCCCCGCGTTCCGGTGCCTCATCCTATGGTCGCCGGTGCGCAGATCAGCTTGCCCTCCGCACCTCGCCCCCCCGCTGATTTGCCTTCTTTCGGCCCCCTTTCCTCGCCCTTCACCCCGGCCCCGACAGCACTCTGACATGCCCGCAATCCCGTCCTATACGTGTGTTCCCCCCCCCCCCTCCCCTCCCCCAGCAACTAAATGGCCGGCGCCCTGCGCTTCCATCTGTCACGCACATGCGCGTGTCTGCTCGTGCGGCGCCCAGCTTCCCTCCCCTGGCCCAGCAGGGGGTCCACCATCAATCAAAGCATGAGCCACCATCCTCCCCGAGTGTCTCTCCCCATCCCCCATGCTTGACAGTGCATCCCCCTGAGGGAGGGGGGAGGGGCGGGCGGGCTACGCATGCTCTACCCGCCATGCGCATGGTGTTGCTGCTTCCTCGCGCCCCGCCCCTCCTCTCTGCCTCCCACCCCTGTTCCCTCTGCCTCCTCATCTCCACCCATCCATCGCACATCCCCCCATTACCAAGAGAAATAATAATACACAGGGCGCGCTCCGGTCGGGGGTGTCTCGGTGGTGACAATGACACACGCATGTACCCCCGTGCGCGTGTTGTATGCCATTGCCATCGGGCTATCCCCCCCCCCCCCCCCGTCCGGAGGACGCACACGCGGGCAACATCACCCCCCAGCAGCCGAGTGGAAGGAGAGGGGAGCACGAAGCAGACGCCGCATGTCCAGAGGGTCTGATCAAGGGCGGGCATTGTATTTCCGTGTGCGTGTGAATCATCGCACACGCGTGTGAACAGCGCCACAGAGGTGCCCTCGGCAGCCGGCCGTCATCCCGTCGTCCCTCCCTCGGGGTCCATCGCCCGAATAAAGCCTCAAAGGGCACGCCAGGCAAGAGGCTGAAAAAGACCGGACAAGGAGAAGCACAGAAAGGGGAGGGGGGCCTCTCGGATGGGCGGTGCCCCCTTTACTTGTAGGTGGTCGGCGCGCCGCCGGACAGCAGACCGGCCAGGGTGTTCTCGGCACTCATGGACCGGGGGGTGAGGGTGCCAAGGGCGCGCTGGGCCAGCGGCCGGATCACCATGGCCGACATGGCGTAAATGAGCTGGGCACCGGCCGCATAGTCGACCTTCTCGCCGAGGCTCTCCTTCACCGCGTCCGAGAGCATCCGATGGCCGAGGGCACGCATGGGACCGGGCGCGGCGAAGGGCAGCTCGGCGACAACCGTGTCATTGAACCTGAGGTGCGGCAGGGGGGGGGGGGGGTCAGACGGTGCGCTGGCAGGCGGGCAGGGCTGTGTGCGGGGGAGGCGCATGTGGACATACATGAAGGACAGCACGCGATAGGTGAGGAAGAGGGTGACAATCGAAATGAGGAAGCCCGGCAGGCGGGCCTTGGCCTGCTTGGCCTGGGCATCGGAGCGGGACTTCTCCGCACGCTCGAGGCGCTCGCGCGACCGGCGCAGCGTGGTGGCAGCGGCCCCGGCGGCCTCCTGCTGGGCGATGTGTGCCGTCTCGCGGGCCACTACGTGCAAAGGGGGTTAGCATGCGAGGTGCGCCCGAGAGAGAGAGAGAGAGAGAGAGAGAGAGGGAAGGGCACGGAGAGCGGGAGGCTGGGAAAAAAAGACGGCAGCAAGGCCAGGCACAAGAGCGCACCATCCGCACGCGCCGCGGTCAGCAGGGCGGTGGCCTCCTTGTACGAGGCGCGCCGGTTGATGAAGGCAGAGGACAGGCTCTCCGAGAGGAAGGCGCCGACGGTGGCCACGCCGACCACCAGCAGAATGTTCAGGGCAGACATGGGGGGCGAGAAAAGGGGCGAGGTGGTGTGGAGCAAGGATGCTTCGCCCTTGGGGAGAGGGGAAGAGAGGGCGAGACAGCGGGGATGGAGAGGCGGGGTCTACGGCGGGGAAGCTGGCGCCGGCGTTCCCTCCCCCCGCCCGCGCGCACATCGGTGGCCCTTCTCTCTCTCGCGCCGCCGCGCGCCTTCCCCGCCTTCCGCCTTCCCTTCCCCGCGCTGAGGGGCAGGCAGGCAGGCAGGCGGCACGGGGAGGCCCCCCGCAGAGCGGGCGGGAGGGGGGGCCGGCGGCCTGGAGACCGCAGACCGCGCCCGGCCAGCCGTGGCGTCCCGGGCTCCCCCATCAGTTGGGGGTGATGCGGGATGGGGGCGCCGTTCGTTGGGATCTCGCGCCCTCTTGGGTGTCCCAGCTGCCGTCGCACGTGCCCCGTTCTGGAGGGATCTGCAGCGGCAAGACCCGCGGTCAACAAAAAGGGCAACGCTGGCTGGAGTGGGGTTCGAACCCACGCGGTTTCCCACCAGTGCCTAAAACTGGCGCCTTAACCACTCGGCCATCCAACCGCAGACTGCCTGCTGAGCCCCGACCGGGTCCTAATAAATGTGGGGTCGAGGGGGATTGCCGCCGCCCGGGGCGGTCCTCTTTTTCTGGGCCGTTGGGGCGGCGAGCCGCGGGGGCTTTGGGGCTCGCCGCATTCGCGCGCGCGCGCGCGCATGGAAAGGTGTCCCACCTTCCTCTCACATCATGGGCCGGATCGGGCCCGGGCCGGGGGGGAGGGGGGCAAGATCGGTGTTCGCCGGCCCCGGCAGGATGGCGGAAAAGGCCCTTGTCCGCCTCATTCCCGGGTGCTGGATTCCGACTGGCCCCAGCCGGCGCGGCCGGACATGGGGGGGCGGATGATGTGTGCACGCCCCCGCCCGCTTGCTGGGGAAAGGTGCGGCGTGCGGCCGGAAGGCCCGGGAACGGCCAGTCGCCTGGGACCGGTGTTTATGTGTGTGTGTGTGTGTGTGTGTGTGTGTGTGTGTGTGTGTGTGTGTGTGTGTGTGTGTGTGTTCGTCTGCATGTCTGCGCGTGGAACTGGCTTTGGCCCTTGCATGGGGCTCGCCATCCCCCCCTGCGCCCCCCCCCCCCCCTGGCCAAGACTTGTTTTTCGTGAAGTCGCCCAAAGGGCGCCTGTTGTTTCCGGAGCCCGGGGCCGTGCGTTGGGCCGCGCGGCCCCCCCCCTCTTGAGGCGTCATCCCGCGACGCGCCTACGCCTCCTTGCCCCACGCCCCGCGTCCCGTGGCTGGACCGCGATCTCGGCTCCGGGGGGGGGGGGGGGGGGGCTGGGCCTCTGGCCCGCTCGAGATTGAGGGCAGACCCCCACCCGGGACGCGTCCCCCCGCGCCCTCCCCGCCAGGCAGATGGGTCTGCCAGATCAACTGATTTTTGACAGGTCTGCCCCTTGGAGAGGCTGGCGAGGGCCGGGGCGAGATCGACGGCAAGGGCCACTTCTGTGGCAGCACCTCTCGCGCCCCTCGGCCGTCCGGGAGCCTGGCATATGTGGCCCGGCTCCCACTGGCCAGTCCTCCCTGCTCGGCTGCCGCCGACACCACCGCGCCAGCACGCCGCCCCCTGAGGCGAAGCCCGCCCGGGCACTCGGCCGCCGGAGCGCCAGCCGCGTGTGTGTGTGCGTGTGTGTGTGTGGAATGTGCACCACGGCCTGCGTCGGCGAGGGGCCGCCCAGGGAGGCCAGACATGCCGGGTGAAGGCCACCACGCAAGCGAGGGCAGAGAGGCCGGGCGGGGGGCAAATGGACCGGTGAGCCCGCGTGAAAGCCGTGCCCATTCCGGCCCCTGGCTGGCGCCGCATAGCTAGCCGCAATTAGATGGAAAGGTGACGCGCGTGTCCTCGGATGTTGGCTCGAGCCCTCGTGCCTCCAACTTCTTCTTCTGCGTGTTCTTTTTTCGGTCTCTCCTCCTCGGCCGGTGACCCTGTCCAGGGGGGGGGGGGCGAGCGGGCGGGAACCGAGCCACCGGGTAAACACCTGCGCCCGGTGGGCACACAGGCTCCCGGCGGAATGTGAAACTTGCGATCTGCCACACTCGCCGGCACAACACCCGGGGCCTCGCCACACAGAGGGCCGGGCGGCAAGGGGCAGCGAGGGGGGGAGAGAGGGAGAGAGAGAGAGAGAGACTGCATGGTGTCGGGGCCGCCACCCCGGCCCTTGCGGCGAGCAGTGCCAGGCACCGAGCCACCCCGGCCGCGCCTGCGTCCTTGTCTCCGAGCCTCGATTGGCGGGGCAACTTCGAGCGTCCTCCGGCTGGAGGGGCGAGGCCCGGGAATCGGCCGGCGGCAGGGCGCGCTGGCGGCGGCCCTTTGTGGGGAGGAGGGCGTCGTGGTGAGCGGCGGATCGTGCGAGTCGCCCAGGATGGCCCAGCCGCGCGGCCACCTGCCCCCAGTGGCCCGGGCAGCCGGGCTGACACGTCTCGCGGCGGGGGGATCGTCGCCTGGAGTGTCACGGCCGCAGGAATCCGGCACCGGCCTGCCAGCTCCGGGCCACCACCCAATCCGGCATCGAGGCATGCACGTCCGCTGTGAAAATGAGCCTGGGCACTGACTCAGCCTCGGAGGGCCGCCACACCTCCATTCACATCTCCCCCCCCCCCCCCCCCCCCTGCCCCTCCTCGAAGCCGTTTTCCCCCCATCCATTCCCTCGTCCTCTCCCCGGCTGCTGGCTCGTGCTTGTGCGTGTCTCTTTTGGTGTCTCTTTTTCTGCGTCGTGCGCCATCCCGAATTTCGCACCCACCAGGCCATCGCCTGTCTTCTGCCCCAGAGCCCATCCCCTCTCGCGCCCCCACCTGTCTGCACTCGCACACACTCGCACACACCCACACATTCACTCACACATTCACTCACACATTCACTTGCACATTCACTCGCACATTCACTCACACATTCACTCACACATTCACTCACACATTCACACACACATTCACACACACGACACAAACAGCGCACACGCAGCACTCCCAACATGGACGTCCTCGACGCCCTCGACACGGGCTGGACCTGGCTCGGCGACCTGCCCAGGTATGCGGCCCGCGAGCCGGGCACCCTGGCAGCCATCAAGGCCGCCACGCAGGCCGGCTGGCATCCCTCCGCGGCGCCACTCATCTCAGTGGTCAATGGGGCCTACTCCTACTCGCTGGAGTATGGCCTGGTGTTGGGCCTGGCCCGGCAAGTGGTGGTCCTGTCGATCGGCTTCCACCTGGCGGTGTGCCTGGCCTGGCGCCTGTGGGCCGGCGTCGGCCAGCGGCCGCTGGCCGCCCCGGCCTCGCGAATGGCCGCCCCGGCCGGGGCCAAGCCGGACATCCTGTCGAATGAGGCGCGGGCCGCCCGCCGGGCCTTCCTGGACAACGCCTGGAAGGAGGCCCAATGCATGATGTCCACCGTGCATGCGGTGGTCGTGCTGGCGCTGCTGGCTGTGTGGTTCACCGGCGCCGGGCGGACCAGCGGCTTCCTGCGGGATCTGATGACTGTGGCGCCCTCCGGGCGCCAGGTGGAGCGCATGCTGATGGTGGCCCCGCTGGCGGCCTTCGGCACCGAGGGCGACCCCGGGGTCCGGTCCATCCGCTGGCTGGATAGCCTGGCCTCGGTGGCCGGGGCCGACCCCGGTGTGGCCGACCGCTTCATGATCCTGCTGGCCATGTTCTCGGTGGGCTACTTCCTGGCAGACAGCCTGCTCATGCTGGCCGTGCCGGTTCTCTATGCACCGGCGCAAATGGTCCACCACTTGCTGATCGCGCCGACCTTCTCCTTCTGCGCCCTCACCGGCGTGGCCATTCCCTTTCCCTTTCTCTTCCTGGTGGAGGAGCTGTCGACGCCCTTCCTGAACATGCGCTTCCTCCTGCGCAACTATGCCCCCGGGGCGGCCGCCAGCCGGGCCAAGAGCCTGCCGCCGGGCCGGCCGGCTGGTGATTCGGCCGCACAGCCGGCTGCCGGCGTGACGTCCGATGCCGCCGGGCCGGCAGCCGCCGGCCGGGCCCGTCGCCGCGGGGCCCCGGACCCCACGCGCCCCCGGGACACCGGCCCCGGCCCCGGCCCCGGCCCCGGCCCCGGCAAGACCGATCCCACGCAGCCGGACGACCTGGACCTCTCGGATGCCCCCTGGCAGACACACGCCTACGGCCTGGTCGAGTGGGTCTTCGCCGGGACCTTCCTCTTTGCCCGCATGGGCATCGGCTCGGTGTTCTTCTATCGACTCTGCCGGCTGGCCTTCGGCCATGGGCTGATGCTGTGGCCGGACGACCGGCGATACTGGGCATGGGGGCTGCTGGCCATGTGCGCCCTGACCCGGGTGTTGAATGTCTTCTGGACGGTGAAGATCCTGCAACTGGTCAGCCGCCGGGTGGCCGGCATCCGCCGGCGGTGGCGTCACCGTCAACAGCGGCGCCTCACCAAGCAGCCCGCCGCCGCCGCCGCCGCCGCCGCCGCCGCCGCCGCCGCCGCCGGGTCCTAGCCAAGTGCCCAGGGGGCCGCTCTCGGCCTCGGTGCCTGCGAGAGACGACCCGGGCATCAAGGGGAAGAGCGCAGGTGCCGGCACCTGCCCGCCCCCCGGCTGTGGGATCATATGCGCCCTGCCCCCCGCCCCCCCCCCCCCTCAGTATGCCTTGGGCATGTACCTTTTCGCATCTGCACGCCCAGACATGGGGGCATCCGCACGGGCCAGAAAAAAAGAGGCCCCAAGACTCGTGTAACCATTGATAAAGATCTTCCTCTCATTCGAGCAGTGCCACAGGGGCGAGGGGGGGGGGGGAGACGCTCGGTGTGCGGGGCAGTTGTTAGCCGCCGGCGGGAGCGAGAGGAGGGCCGGATTGTGGGGAATGGCGCGGGGTGTGTGCATTCATCATGTGCCCCATGTGAGTGGGCTGACCGAGTGAAAGAACATGCGCACATGCACGTGCCCATTCCGGTGTTTGTTGTTATCTCCGTCCCCGGCCCCGGGGGGGGGGGGGGGCAGGCCGGGCCTGGCGGCCGGCGCCGCCCGGCTGCGGCCCACCCCCGAAGCCCATTAGACCCGCGCGCATAGTGGGCATGTTTGCGTTATGGCCGTCGGCCGGGCCCGGGGAAAGCACGGGCATTTGTGTCGGCCACCGCCGCGGCGGAGGGCCGGCTGGAACGGCCCCCGACGAGGGGAGGGGGGCTGCGAGGAGGCGCAATGGCCCGGCCGGCCGGGACGCAACCTCCCAAAAAGAAGTCAGACAGCCGTGAGGTGCGGCGGGGGGG